CATGCAGGCGGGTTAGAAAACTTACAAATTTTGAATGAACTTATTCAGCGAGTTCGAAAAATCGCTTTCCATGTAGACAAAGATCATCGTATGAAAGAAGCTGCTCAAATAAAAGTAATCCGAAAATAAACACATATTCAACTTGTAATTTCTCGTTTTAATGTGAACTCACTGAGAGAATAAAATGTTAATGATAATTAAACTTAAATTATTCTGCCATGTCTGCGGTTGTCATATGGAGTTCCAGAGAGTAAGAATAATCACTGCTGTTATTTTACAATAATTTATATGTTAAGAGAAAGGATCGTCTACGGGTTGAATTCTATTTGACTGTGAAATTATGAACACAAATTGAGAGCTTGGTAACATTGATTAAATATTCCTATTATTACTTAGTTATGAATAGTGAGCCCAGTTGTGAGCAGTAGTTATTCATTATTATATTATAATATGTATTTATAGTCCTAGGCCTTTTCACATCCTTCGTAGGTAGTCGGTCATATGTTCTGTAAAAATTGTATTAGTAACAAGTTCTGTTGTACGTGCCATCCCAAGTAGCATTTCTTGTTTTATTGCACTCTATTAGTGGTTATTGAGATCAATTTCATAAAACCGCCAATAAAATTTATAGCTCCAGCACATCCTTTTGATAACCGCTATAAGATCGTCATACAGCTTAGTGGACCACTCTTGATAAGGTTTATAAAGCATGTTTGAGAGTCACAATAAAGCTGTCTTAAAACCTTTTGTCAGGAAGCCTCATACTCTACAAAAGGTTCTCATAGCCTCTATAAGAGTAATATTGTATCCAAGCAGTTTTATTACGCTTTGGTGAAAATCAGCTATAAAGCCAATTTAATTTTTATTGGCTTCAAAGCAACCGCCATAAATTAGCTTGTTGTTGTTCTGTTCTGCTGAAACTTTTTTTCCAAATGGAAATCTTTAGCGGTAAAAATAGGTTTGAGTGTTGGTGTCAAGATCACCATGCAATCAATTTTGTTTCATGGCGACATTAGTGAAAATCTTAAAGAAAATATATTACTTTTTAGAAGTTCCAAAACATATGCGCTTGAAATGTTATCGTGTATATTGAGATAATATGAGCGTTAAATAAATGCGCCTCCAAAATAATTCAACTTAACAAAAAATAGTGTTTCAGAAATGAAATGAATTTGATGGAATCACCTTAATTTTACAGAAAATAGATCTCAATACATAAATTCATACCAATGCACACTGAAAATCATTTCGGATCTCTAATTTAGCCATTATTTTATTGAAATTTCTTGGATTTTATTCCAAGGCTAATGGCATTTTCATAATGACAATATGGCGACAGAGGACAGCAGGCAAGAAAAACACCAAGCACAATTTCTTAAAATGTCTAATGCATACATTGCACACTGGGTCAGGAATGCAACCTAGCGGAGCAAAATTAATAACTCCGAAACGAAGCATTTTCGCGACTTGGTGTCTTCGGCAAAATTTCTCATCATAATAAGGACCATCTATTGACATAAACAAATAGTTCAAAACTCTTCCGCAAAGATGGTGCCACAATCTAACTTCTTTCTCTGACGTTTTGGAAACTTGATGTCTTCGGCAAAGTTGTTTATCTTGACAAAATGAACAGGTCTTTCAAAGACGTAAAATTTCCACAGTCTGGTAGTTCCAAATTATATGGAGTTAAAGAAAAAAATGTCGAAAATATGGTTTTTTTTTTCTGTTTCTGTTTTTTTGCTTACAGCTTTATAATGTTATATTTTTCTCTTATGCAAATACATTAAATAAATAGCTTTTGTGAAGAAACATGCTGGATTAAGCTTCAAATTTCAAAGATATTGTTGAAAAAACGAGAAAAAAAAACACAATTTTTGAACATTAATATCTCCCAAAGCGCAAAAAATCACAACCTGATATTTTCAGCAAAAATTAAGCAATACTCGATAAGCAAAATATCAAAATTTGAGAGAGGTATATTTTAGTGTTTTTTTAGATTTCTTCATTTTAGTTGAACATGATTTTTTTCTATAACTTTTTTAATGCATTGAATTTGTGTTTCGAAGACTTTACGACTTTGTCAAAGTTGGTTATCTTGATAAAATAAACAACTTTTCTTAATACGTTAAAACTTCACAGCCTACTGTTTTCGAGTTATGTGAAATTACAGAAAAAATGTGAAAATAAGTGTTTTAATTTTAAATATATTGTTTAAATGAATATACCTCGAAAACAGTAGGCTGTGAAGTTTTAACATCTTAAGAAGAGTTGTTTATTTTATCAAGATAAACAATTTTGCCAAAGTCGTCAAGTCTTCAAAACGCCATTTCAATGCATAAAAAAAGTTATAGAAAAAAATAATGTTCCATTAAAATGAAGAAATCTACAAAACACCAAAATATACCTCTCTCAAATTTTGATATTTTGTTTATCGAGTATTGCTTAATTTTTGCTGAAAATGTCAGGTTGCGATTTTTTGCGCTTTGGGAGATATTAATGTTCAAAAATTGTGTTTTTTTTTTCTCGTTTTTTCAACAATATCTTTGAAATTTGAAGCTTAACCCAGTATGTTTCTTCACAAAAGCTATTTATTTAATGTATTTGCATAAGAGAAAAATATAACATTATAAAGCTGTAAGCAAAAAAACCGAAACAGAAAAAAAACACATTTTCAACATTTTTTTTCTTTAACTCCATACAACTTGGAACCAGTAGACTGTGGAAATTTTACGTCTTTGAAAGACCTGTTCATTTTCTCAAGATAAACAACTTTGCCGAAGACATCAAGTTTCCAAAACGTCAGAGAAAGAAGTTAGATTGTGACACCATCTTTGCAGAAGAGTTTTGAACTATTTGTTTATGTCAATAGATGGTTTGAGATTATGACGAGACATTTTGCCGAAGACACCAAGTCGCAGAAATGCTTCGTTTCGGAGTTATTAATTTTGCTCCGCTAGGTTGCATTCCTGGCCCAGTGTGCATGGGATGAAAGCAGAACAGAAAAGCATAATGCATGATTTTATTGCGAGAACTATTTTCTTTTTACAAGAGCAATTCAAGCTGAACTTTGCATAAGGTCCTAAGTAACATTGATCGATTCTCTTCGTCGACTTTCTTTTTCGTTAATAACTTATTCACAGAACCGTTTCTTGATGTGTTTGTCGTATTGGATGCTAGATAAAAGCTTCTTTTATCGATTTATGTGCTGAAAATACCTGGGAATGTCTTTACATGACCGTGGGGATGCAAAGAGAAAGTTGACGAAGCGAATCTGTCAATATTACTTAGGACCTAATGCAATGTTCAGCTTGAATTCATTTTTTTATTTGAGGGCAAATGTATATTCCTATTCTACGGGTGCAACCGATGAATTTTACAAACATTTAGAAAAGTTTTGAATGGTACATTAACCTTTATGAAAAGTTATGCGTGATTTCAACCTTTTTGCTCTAGGACTGTCACCATTCCATGTATTTCGACCAAGATTCGACCGTGTCACCCCATGTATATGCGAGCGAGAACGGAAGAATCATGGAGATTGTTGACGTTTTTCTTACGCACACTACGTCGCGTATACGTATACACGAAATGTTTTCATGCTCATGCTAACAATTTTGTTGATTTTCTTTGCGCTCCGCTTGGAAGAACCGGAAAGTTTTGATTCTTTTCTATGTTGTAAAAATAAACCACCTATTTACATTTCTGACAAGTTGCAACTGAATGCTTATAATTGTTTTTAAAATAACTGTTTCATGGCCAACTAGTTTTATTGCGCTTACTTATAAAGCAACGAAAGGATTTATTTTTTGGTTTTATAAGGGCAATTCATATTACTTTTTTGTATACTTCAAAGCAATCATAAAACCTTTCATAAGTAAAAATAGCATAAGCATCAGTTGGTTTTTTAATTAGCTTTATAGGGGTTTTTTAGATAGCTATAAGAATGTTTCATGACTTGCATTGTATATGACCGTGATAAAGCTGTAGGTAATGGTTGCAGCTGCAATAAAACCTTTATAAATTTTGAATATAGCCAAGCAGCTCTAGATTTGTTACTTGGGATGAGTATGCTATTCTTGATATTTTTGAAAGCTTACCCTGCTGCTCATTTTAAACTAACCTTAACCGTAGTGCAACGGTATAGTAAAGCACATCACGTTGTATTCTCTTAGGTTAAAATAACGGAGATTTTTCTGAAAACCGACTGGAAAGTCAGGGAATTTTTTTTTCGACTTTGAGGCGACACCCTGTCAAATCTCACCCTGGGCAAGTCATCAATGACACATTTCAAGCCAAATCGTATTCGGACCTGGCAGCACCCTCTCAGATTTCAATGAAACTTTCTGAATGTGTGGACCTTGACTAAATAAACCATGCATACTTAGTTTTTTTTTTCAAAATTTATCTAACTATCCACTTGAAGTTCTGCTGTTAACGTCTTGTTTAAAATTTAATTTAAGTTCATCGGTCGTTGAACTGATTATTTTTTTAAACATATTTTTGGGCATTCGACGCATTTTACGCCAAATCGTACCGAAGCTGGCAGCACCGTGAGAAAAAATTTCATTCAAATCAAACGTGGCCATTTTTTTAAATCGACTTGAGTGTAGGTCTCAAATGGATTTTTTTTTCAGCGTTTTTATTCGAAAATTAGAACAATTTCCTAATAAAATAACATAACACTTTTTTGTAAGAGTTGTCATTATTTCATTATATTTTTCACGTTTGTCAAACAAGCTTCAAATAGGCAGCATTGAGATATGCTTCTTTGTGTTCTTATTGTTTCCTCCATATCTATTCTTGTTGTTTTAACATACAACTATAAAAAAAAAACAATTAAAACACCATTGATTTTAAACAAAAACATTCTTTGTGACTTCGATAAATGTTGTAAACAGAAAAAAAATATGAATTTTAATTGTCGCGATAACTACATGAATTCATGTGCAGATAAAAGCGAACAATTTGTCTCATCATTGTTTCTCTTTCCCTATTTACAGCTTACCCATACATCGCACTTTCAATAACTCGTCAAACTCGAGCAAAATAAAAGGTAAGTGAACTGCAGAAATCCTTTAAAATCGTCGGCAACTGCACAGTTAAAACATGTTATAACAGCCGATGTCGATAATTATGATAACATGTTATAGCTGAGTAGTCTGAACGTAGCATAATGGTATATTCTTCAATAGAACATTATTTTCTTTATCTTTTTTTCATATTCTCAAAGGAATGCAATAGTTTCTTCGTACACGCAAACAGAGTAAACACATTCAGAATATAGCAAATAACGGAAAATGCAAAACTTCATCTCTAGTATCGAAAATCATACAAAGAATTTAGACGTATTAATGATCCTTATTATTAAGAAAACCGATAAAAACATCATCAGTACAGTTACTACAACTGTTACAGCTAAATCTACTATTACTCCTACTATTTCTTCAACTATTACAACTACTACTCAAGAAAACACGAACAAGTCTGAATACGCTTTTAAGAAATCACTTAATAGTCTGCTAAGTTCAAACGAAGAGGGGACAAATTCAAAGCAAGAGTCATCACTGAAACCGAGCAAGGCCTACCAGCTGCGCCGCCTATCGATTCAACCAGAACAAAAACCGCTGTTACTACAATCGATCGATGAGTCTGAACAACAATCAGGGATTGTATCCGATATTATACTAATTGTTAATGATAATTCAATTATTCGTAACAGTGCCGCAAAATCCAATATCGATTGCAACACGTTTGTGACGATTGAAGAAGGGCAGCAGCATTTGGTTCGGTCTCTGGCGAAACAATATTATGCTCTGAGTGAACAACGGCCACAAGAAGCAGCAGGTGGCTACAATACTGAAGTGAACGTGAGAGACGGGAATTCGACACATTTCAATCATCTGATCAGAAGCATGATGAATGATAATGACACTGTGAATATGATATGTGATTTAATTGATTACCTGATAACAGTAAATACTAATCATAGTATAGTGATTGATGGATGTAGTAGCTTGATCTGTAATGACCAAAACTTAGCTTCTAAGGATAACAATGATAAAGCCATGGCAGACAATGCAAACGATGCTAATACTTCCGAACAAGCCAAACGAACCTCGAAACTAGTATCAACGTACGTTAAGTTTGATGATCTACTGCGTATGACAAAATGGGAGAAGACTGTAAACAAAGCTGGTTTGAAACCGCGCATGAGATTGTGCGGTGGAGGAGAAGATTCGATCAACAACGGTACCAGTGCTTGGGGTGCAGCCGGTACTAGCAATCCAGGCAGCTCTTGGGGAACGATGAATCCTCAGCAACCGGGTGCTTGGGGTAATAACCCACAAGCCGGATCTGCCGCTTCCGGTAGCGGTGCAAATTTGAAACAACAGCCACAACAACAACCGCAACAACCAGGGGCTGCTGGAGCAACAAGCGCACCAAGTGGAGTTCCCGTAGCAGAGAACGCTGAACCCAATGCATGGGCAGGAGGCAATCCAGTGAATCCCAACAGTAACAGTGCACAAAATCAAGCAGCAAGTGCTGCTAATACTGCGCCAAACAACAGCAATAGTGCCAACTCGATTCAACCACAGCAACAACCATCTCAAGCACAACCGGGGGAAACATCAGCGGTGCAACCGAATCCGAAATTGGAACGCCTGAATACCATGATCGAAGCACTTCATGCGATAGATGGATGGGGCTCTGAGAACGTTAACCAAGACTCCCGATGGGATATACCAGCCTCGCCGGAGCCAGGATCAAAACCCGATCCGAACAGTGCCGTGACTGGTCCTCATGCTGGAATTCCGATGTGGAAGACCAACACCGGTACGGAAATTTGGGAAGCAAATCTTCGTAACGGAGGACAGATGCCTCAACAAACACCGGTCCAAAAGACACCTTGGGGACCTTCTACTAATATCGGAGGAACATGGGGAGAGGATGATGATGCTAATGAACCTGGCAGTGTTTGGAATGGAGCTGCCAGCATAAATCAACCTGCAGCTACTTCGCAAGGAGGACAATCCCAGCAGCCACCGTGGAATGCAGGAAATATGTGGGGTCCAGGGGGAAACAACGCTCCCAGTACTATCAAAAAGGATAATGAATGGGGAGGTGCCGCAGGTCCAGCTGCTGGTGGATGGGATCAAAGAAACCCTCCTCCGTTGAGTGCGCCAGGTGGCACTACCGGAATGGATCCGACCAATGTTGATTTGCGAAACATGCGCATTGCTGGTGCAATGGACAGCAACAGAGAAATTCGTGGAGATCCTCGTGGTATCTCGGGTCGATTGAATGGCAATGTTAATCTGTGGGAGCAACATCAACTTCCTGGTATGGCTCCAAACAAGATTCCTCAAGCGACCACCCCAAGCACCCCGGCACCTGGTCCTCAGTGGCCAACCAATCAACTTCCCGCACATAACAAAATGCAATCCGGTTGGGAAGATTCTTCCACACCCGGAGTGCGTCGAAATGCCGACGATGGAACTGCCCTTTGGGGACAAGGAACTCTTAGCCGACAGAACTCCAACGTTTCCAACTGGAAGGATGGTCCGGAAGGTCTCCAGCGCAATTCCGCACAGAGAAACTCTATCGTTTCCGGAAACCTACCGGGTCCAGCTGGTAATCGTCTTGGAAATCCTGGCCCTATCAAACCAGATCTGTGGAATCAAAACAATGTTGGCGGTCGTGGTGGTAGTGGTTGGGAGGAATCGGCTGGCAATAATTGGGATGATAAAAACACTGGCTCTTTGTGGAACGACAATGCACAGGCTGGAGGCTGGAACAAAACCAAACAAATGGGATCCAATTGGAATGATGCCGGTGCAGATATGAACTCCGATTGGGGAATGCATAATAATGGTATGAACAAACCACCTAACAAAATAAACCCATTGGAGATCATTAGAAGTAGCAAACACTACCGAATGTTGTGCGAAATGGGTTTCAAAAAAGAGGAAGTGGAAACAGTTCTTCGTATTTGTAACATGAATCTCGAAGAATCCATCGAAATGTTGCAGAGGAATGGTTCTTCAACTGACTGGCGACGGCAAGAAGATCATGGGCCTGGCTTTGGCGGTCAATTTGGAGATAGATTCTCAGCTGCTGGAAATTCAGCAATGCCGTTTCCTCAAGTAAATGTTGCTAGTGTTACTCATTTAGGGTGTTATCTGATAAGTGTCTGTCTTTTTTTAGAACAACCAGAATCTGCTCAGTGGCTTTGGGGGAAATCCAAATATCAACTCGTTCAATAATATGAAGTTCGGGGCTGGTCACGGTGGTCCCAATGGAGCTACAAATGGTCCATTCGGACAGCCACCATCAGCTATCAATCAAAATGCACAATCTCAACCCTCGACCCAACAGCTCCGTATGCTAGTCCAGCAGATTCAAATGGCTGTTCAACATGGATACTTAAACCATCAAATTCTTAATCAGCCGTTGGCACCACAAACTCTATTATTGTTGAACCAAATGTTGAATCATATCAAGGTATGCATCGTAATAGTAGGTGCCTGTATTTAGCTTAAAAAAATTGAAATTATACTATTTTATTCTAGCAATTACAAGTCATGCAAAGCAATCTGAACCGAAGTGGTGGCGGCGGTGCTAATGCCGTACAAATATCTCTTGCAATTAATAAGCTCAAGTCGCAAATTGGTAATCTGCAAAGTCAGATAACCGCCCAGCAAACGATCTACGTGAAACAGCAACAACAGCAAAGCAATCCGAACGCAGTGCCCGGCAGTGGTCATCCTGGAAATGATTTGTTCCGAACACCGAATGATCTATCCGGGTTACCAGGCAACTTCACCGATATGTCTTTGAAAGACAACGGAAATCCGTTCCCATCGTCGACTGGAAGCACTAGTCAGCAATCTCGATTGAACCAATGGAAGCTTCCAGCGACACCGGCAGCTGATAAGGACACAGATCTCACCGATTTCCAACGAGCCCCTGGAACAAGTTCAAAACCTACAGGACTGGGCGTGATGGACGATGGGTATGTGTGGATGAGAGTTGTAGTTTTATTGTAGGTAAAATAAAAAAAAATAAATAATGTATAATTTGGTATGTTTTAGCACTTGGTCCAATGGTCGGTCCACCACGGGTGATGGCTGGCCTGATGCCAATGCTCATGATCACAAAGATTGGGCCGCTAATACAGATGCATTCACTGATTTGGTTCCAGAATTTGAACCGGGTAAACCATGGAAGGTAAATATGAACGATCAATGCGAGTATTGCCTATCGAAACTGATTTTGTCTATCTATATAGGGTACTCAAACGACTCGTATTGAGGATGATCCTTCCATTACACCGGGAAGTGTGGCACGTTCTCCACTCTCCATTGGCGCTGCCAAAGAATCGAATTTATTTGCCAATAGCAATAGTACCAATAATATAAACAATAACACTAACAATAGTAAATCCTCGCCGACTGAATCTATTTCGTCCTCAACCTGGAGCTATAACAACGCACATAGTGGTTTTGGTGGTTCGAAACTGTCGAAAAATCCATGGCCTGATAGCATTGTTCCTCCTGCTGACCTGTGGGATAACCCACTCAGCAAGGGTCGGATAGCTCCTCCTGGTCTGAAGACGGGCGGAGGTAAGCTGGATTCAAACGGGTGGTCCTCGCATGCAGCTGGTAGTGGTCCGGGTGTAGCGGGTTGGAACAGTGGTCCTGCCACATGGACTTCGACTTGGATTTTACTGAAAAATCTTACAGCTCAGGTGAGTAGAACAAAATTTGCATTATACGGCACGGAGTCTTGAACGGTTTTATTTTTTATTTTTATTTTTTGTAGATCGATGGTTCAACGCTACGCACTCTATGCATGCAGCATGGTCCATTGCTGGCCTTCCACGTCTATCTCAATCATGGCATTGCTCTGTGTAAATACTCGTCACGTGAGGAAGCAAATAAGGCCCAGTTGGCGCTAAACAATTGCATGCTCGGCAGTGCTACAATCTGCGCCGAGACGCCAACCGAAAGTGACGTACAGAACATTCTGCAACATCTGGGACCACCCAGCGGATCGAATGGGCTTACCGGCGGTCAATCCGGTGGACAAAACTGGCGTCTGGGAGCTGCTGCTCAGTCGCAAACCGTACGCACTCCAGGTAAGGCGGAACGCCGAAGGGTGGCTTGTGTATGTCTATTAGGGTGGTTCATAATATCGATGTTGCTCCACCAAACTCAATCGATTCTAAACTCACGTCCTGATTATTCTCACAAAATGTGAGGTCCCTTGAAGTTTATATGGGAATTACTATGGGAAAAGTAATTTTTTCTCAACGTCCTAGCACTCTAAGGAAGCCTTAGCGTGAAACTTTAAAGGCACAAATCTCAGCTTCCAAAAAACATACAAATTTGAAATTGCTACTCCTTGTTTGTTGTGCTACTACAAACAGAGAGTAGCAATTTCAAATTTGTATGTTTTGTGGAAGCTGACATTTGTGCCTTTAAAGTTTCACGCTAAAGCTTCCTTAGAGTATCACCTTAAAGTCCACTTCATTTATAGGTAGGGGAAATGGATGTAATGTCGGCCAATATGCCCCTAATTTGGACCCATACATAAATTCAGCAATCGACTAAATTTTTAATAGCGACCAAAAATATCCATAAGTACCGTCATAATGACGCGTTCATCTAGATAAAATTGATAAATAGCAGATTTTCAGCTATGGGCCAAATCTTAGATCCATAGGCCACCATTAGAGCCATTTCCCCTATATATTTCTCGCGTAACAAAACTTGTAATACCATATTAGCAAAATATTTTAAATAAAATTCGTTGAAATAGGACCCAGGAAATGCCGGGCATAGAATATCAAGTCATGCCTTGGTTAGTATAGGAGCTTTCATTAAATTGCTATGGAAGTGGTCCAAAGAACACTAAGTTGAAAGCCACGGCACACGCTCGTATAAGAGCGTCAAAGCTATGATGAACCTTTTTTTCAAACTAACTATTTGAAGCTTTATTAGCGAGATTTTTTAGCTCGTTGACTAGTTCATCTCGTTGATTTCATTCTGGCTTTATTAGATGATTTTTGTGTTTTTGAGGACTAGAGATGTACTAAACCCAACTCACATTGAAAGCTCAATAAGCGCTTATTCAGACAAAAATGTGCTTCTTCAGCAAGAAAGTAACTTATTCAGCTTTTAAACAGCCCAAATTGCTTCTCGGGAATAGTGTTATTCGGCGTTTACTTTAAAATTTTATCTGATTGGGCATTTCCCACCCAATTTTAAGACTGGAAAGCTTGATATTCGGCCTAACATTCGATGCATCACTTTTAATGACATTATGATGCTTCCGAACATTCCAACTTTGCTACTGGTAGTTTGACTTAAACATTGTAGCATTTTTAGGCGATTTTAGTTATTTGGCGTAGGCTGTTTTGGTCTGACCCTAGGTAAACAATCAATTAACCTCTACTTGATGATGGAACGTTTGGGTAAAAAGTTTAAAGTGAAACTAGCGTCTTAATGGTCAACCAATATTAATTGAACTCGCGTATAATGCTGATTTGGAGCTTACCAATACTTAGGAGTCATACTGCCGCTATCCGCATAACTATACCTTGTTCTATGCAAACCTTAAAGGCTGGAGGACATTTATTAGTATAAAGGCAACATACTTTCCTTTCACATCCACCCGGACAACTTACCATTTTCCTATCTTTGATACATGGTTTGTCCCCTCCTAATCTTCCGTTACACGCATAAATGTTCCATGGTCTATACGGATCGCATAGAACATCGATAGGACAGTTATGCGTAAAACAGCAGTGAAATGCTACGTCATTAAACAATCTATATAAAAACAATACAAACTACAATCGATATTTTCAGCCGCTGACACCTGGGGTTCTGCATGGCCCAGCAGTGGCGCTGGATCGAATCTGTGGGGCCCATTGGAAGCGCCGTCCGACCGAGCTACACCCGCCAATTTGAACTCCTTTCTACCCGAGAGTTTGCTTGGTACTGATCTAAACTAAGCCGAACGGAAAAGATAGAAATGATGCACACTTGAACACGAGCATTAGTTAGTTAAGTGAGGAAAGTGAGCACAGAATTGTAGGATAGAACGGTAAGTACTAGACTGTTATTTGTGTGTGTGTTTTGTACGAATATGCGTTTTGTCTTTTGTGCGATTGATCAGTACATGTATTTTTTTTTCAACCGATTGCGATCATAGAATTTTGTTGGACATCAATGAACGACGGTAGCTGAAGGCCTGGGTTTATAAATGAAGTGTCTTTTCACAGTCAGCGGTTTCGCCTGGCGTAGTATTAAGGTGTTGTGAATGTTTTTATCATTTTTAAATAAAAGCGATATACAATTAATATATATTTGAAAAACAAAAAAAAAAACAAATATGAGAAAAACAGAAAACAAAGCTGAAAAAACAACACGAACACACAAAACACTTCAAGTCAAAGAAATGTCTAGTTATATGTTTCACATGTTAAGTTTTACAATTGTAAATTAATTTCATGAGTGAGAGGTTTTGAACCCTCCGAAAACACAAAGCATACAAATCCTATTACATTTAGGTTGCTCTTTAGATATAAGGCAGAGGCAGATTCTGCTCCTTTTCGATCTTGTGTACTAGCAGCAGCATTCGTTTCCACCGTTTTGTACAAAGAAAAACAAAAAAATAACGGATCATGAAATGGTGAGACACGCGCATACTAATTTCATTCAAAAGTCACACAGAATTATGCACATTTTGTAGGTGAAAGCAATTTATAAGAAAATCAAATGTGGTATTAGAGAATAGATTGACATAAGCAGCAAGTCTGTAAAAAAAAAAAAAAAAAAAAAAAACTACTGATGCTAAGAAAGACAAAGAAAATATCTTTTGCTACTTTACTAGGCAACATGTGTGAGAAGACAATTAACACACAAAAAAGAACCTGTTGTAACTATACTAAATGATAGGACCTTATTCGGTTTGTTCGAACCTGAAAACGCTTCTCAACGAACGCCATTTAAAACAAAAGCTTTCAAATTTAAGAGTATTGTTAACGGTAACGTTACGCGCTAGTACTGCTATTATTATTATTATTATTTCGATAAGTTTTTGATAGAGACAAGACAATGATCATATTTAAGCTAAGGAAATCCTCAAAGACAAGGAAAAGCAAGGAAGCATAGCGCGGAAAAAAATCGACACATTTTCCTCATTTTATTATTATTTTTAACAATGTGTAGAAAATTATTGGTTGTATTATTTATTGAAATATGTATTTTTTATTTTCGTTTTAAGAATGTTATCTCTGTAAAGATCAGGTTATCTGAACATACTATTTTTTCCAATGACATAAAACCAGTTGTACAATGCGAACATTATTGATGAAATCAAAGTGATAACGTTCCACTACTTCAAACACTCGCCCCGAACCAACGATTGTCTTATTCTCAGCGTCCATTGATTGTAGTCCGTCAATTGGTTGGTAATGTGTGGCGCTAAACAAATCAAAAACAGCAATTTTGTATGTGTATTGAAATTATGTGGTAAGTGGCAAAAATCAAATGCATAAAATTAAATTTGTTACTGATATTAGACAGGGTGCTTACATACGTACGTCGTACAAGCGAGTGCATGCAGCACCTCTAATCTGAAGAAATACAAGATTTCTTTTTTTTTTTGTAGTTGATAAATGTTATTTGCTGATAACGTCGGCAGAAATACTTTAATCTTATCAAAGCTTCCTCTGACCGGTAAACCATTACCGGTAGGAGAATGAGAAAGCTGATGTTGTGTTAGCATCACGCGACTCATTAAATGGATTTTGGCATAGTAATAGACGTGAAGGGCACTGCTCACTGATGACGAACTGGCAATCACAACCCCGGGAAGGGGACTCTCAACCATGGTTCTTGTCAACTGCTCAATTAACTGTGTGGATATACTTCCCAATGTAGGTTATTTACGTTGTTTTCTTGAACTGACTTTGATCGTACAAAACTCTGTTAAATTTAAATAATCTTAAAGTACTATTTTCCGCCACAAAAATATGTTTCGGTTTCAACATCTACAGCGAAAACATTTAAAACATTCTTTTTGACAGTGCACTGTTTGGTGATCGACTATTTTAAGTTTGATTTTGATTACTGTTTACGCCAATAGAAGCTCGAAACTGCCATTTTAACCTGTAATCAAGAATGAAACTACTTGCAATAGTTGAACTACTCTTAGCTCTAAATGGATTGTGAAGACCTAGTCTTCGTAAGTAATGGAAAAATATTGCAACAAAATTGCAGTACTAAATTGTGATACCTTCATTGATTAAGACGTAAAATTAAAACAAAAAAAGCTTCAATTCCTATCTTCCATTGTTTTACCAAATCTTGCAACCTGAAAACGCTTTATAGTTTATTGTTCGAGTTATTATTTAAACCTTGAACCTATGATGTGCCAAAAATGTGAACTGTGTCCAAATACTACCGTGCTACTTACGAGTAACCTGAGTTTTGAGTTCCATCATCGTCCGGCCGTGTGCTGGATTTCCGTTCGGTTGAGCAGTGCCTCTAGCTTGCCATTTAGAATGTATTCCAAATGATAACAATTTAACATTTCAAACGAGGAAACACATTAAAACTGAAACAATGATTACCCTTAAAACTTAGCCTCTGTAAACATTAAGTTTAAGTATTAGCCTCAAATAAGGATGCATAACAAAAACAAATTCAGATTGTCGAAACCGGGGTCTCTGTACGATTGTCGAAACCGGGGTTTCTGTACGATTGAGTTGACTGTCTTGTGATACTAACTAAAAAAAATAATAAGAAAACTAGGTTTGAAACCATACTCCAAAGTTAATTTTCCGTAATCTATTGTAATACTGAATTTGAAGCAACTTGCTTTCGTTTCTGCGAATAGGAGAGTACAGAAAAATAGGATACTAAAGCAAACTGCACATTTCCTATTCATAGGAGAACCTTAACCGCAATGGAGATCGCTTGTCATAGGCTTAAGAATAATTACGCTCTTTCCAGTGTGTCGCTTACGATTTGATTCAATTGTTCTCTAGTTTAGGTTGTGTACCGCTCCATTCTTCCAAGTCAGCACATCAATATGCTAGTTTTGATTGTTGTTTTGCTCACAATTTAATGTTATTATTTTCTCCTACTTGTGTAAGAATCAAAACACTCAGATATACCAGTTCACGAAAAATATAGCTTTAAGAGATCACTACAAAATGGAAACCTTATACATATAGGATGCATCAGTAGACTTTAAGAAGAAGGGAGCCAATCGTGTGCTAAACTTAGATATAATAAAATTTATTCCGGCTCTTTTTTTCTCTCCAGAAGGGAAAATTAACTACACAGAGAAGATCCGTGGTGTACCGTAATGTGTACTTTGGAACCATGTGCAACTTATTTCAGTTTATTCAATAAGTTTTCTCCCACTTCTGTGGTAGTAGCGCTTTCATTTCGCGTCCGTTTCGTGAGGATGCTATTTTTCTGCATACAATGAGTGGCACAATTGGGAAATGTCCACTCCTGTCCTATGGACAAAAAGAATTCAGATTCATAACAATTAATGTAGAAACGAAGAATACGCGCGTCTTTTTAGCTGCTGGTTTCCGTATGATGGTTGAACAAGGATCCAAAATAGTCTTCCGCTTTGACACACACACACATGGCTTCTTGTTTTAAAAATAGTGTATAATAAATTGAAATAGTTTTTCTCGTTTTTTGAACATTTACAATAACCGGCCCTTCACCTTGCCTTGCGAAGCAATGAATTGGTAGGTTTAGTCAGAGTGAACGGCAACAACATTTTTTTGGCCTTAGGATGACTTTCACTCAGAAGTGAACAAATTCATATCGTTAACGATTTCAATTTCAAACAAGTGCTTATTATAGCTTATCAATACCAAAATGCACTAAATGAAGCGAATTCATGTTTTTCATTAAATATTACTAAAATATTTTCTACTATGTATGCGATACTTGAAGTCCACCGGCTCTGAAAACAATAATGTTTATTTACTTTGCTCATTTGATACCCCGCTTGACAGTTCGATTGGTATTTCTGACTTCACTCTTTGTGGGACTCTGGGCTTAGTAGCTCTCAATTATGTACAAAGAAAACCATGGGAGCAGGCATACGTTTTAGTTTTCGAACGTCATCGGTCAAAATGAAGATGAATAATCCTCAAAAACCATGCCTCTTAAAACCATACACTCTAACTTCGAGCCCAGATAATACCGGAAAGGCCGTCGATTCCGCAGTCCTGGAAACAATAAACGAAAATGAAATCAAAAGCGATCAACTACTGTCAAAGCGATCTTCCTTTCTCGTTTGATTCCTATCAGAATGTTAAAGATCACTAGAGATATAGCCCGCGTTGTTTTCATCAAATCCAAAGTTGAATGGGCGAACCTTTTTTGACCCGTACATCCGAACTGGGATGGTGGAATTCTGGGAGTTGAAGTTAGCTGGTTTTGTAGATGATATCGTAATTATAGTTGAAGAGAAATACGATAGCATGATAATGTTATACTGGGTTCCTAAATTTGGAAGGATCCGACTTTATGAGCTTTATCACCTCACACACCGCGCAGAATATGCCTAATAAACTCGATAATCACACCATCGTCCACCACCGACCTGCCATGGTTAGCTGTGGAGCGATGATGAATACCCGTTGACCCCGGAGGAACAGTGACTGCCACGAGGCTCGGGTTTACATGCTTCTACCTCCCGGTAACATCGACGTCGCACTTTCTCAGCTCCATTTGATCGGTACTCTTCGGTTTGTTCCAAATTCTTCTTGAACACTCCGTCGATGATCATAAAAGTGAAGATCACATAGAGCAGCAGCCTGACCATTCAGATCCGCCTTCATCTGCTTGATAACCATCTTTGCGAAGAGATAATCTTTTAGATCCGTCTTCATATGCTAATAAACGGCCATCCCGGAAACGTTTTTTTATTGTGGCCTAGTCAGGGGGAAGGGACGATCTTTTAAAGTTGTCTCCCCAAACACTTTTTTCAGTGGTCTAATGAAACGGTTCTTTAGATCTGAGGCTGAGAACAGCCGTTGCGGCCAAGTTCAGTTTTGTGGAATGCACGCCGGATTATATGATATGATTATGTTCTTTCGAGGTTCTAAGCCTCGAGCCTGAGTTACAGAGCTTGATTCAACACAAAAATGATTGAGTTGAGAATCGGAAAGAGAAAGTATAGCTTTACTCTTCATCGATGACACGAAGATACTGCTGCCAGCAGTGATGGAAGTTTCGAGTCGCGTTCGGGTGTGTAAAGCAAAACTCGTGAAACTCAAACGAGTTTTGCTTTACACAAAAGAATTTTATAGCTGGTGAGTTTTGTTTGCTTGATATTCGGAGCTAGCTACGATATCACAACTTGTAATATCATCCGCAGTTGTTTGCTTGTTGGGTTTTGCCTACGAAAATCAAACGTGATCATGGTCGTTGAGGAGATTGGTTTTTCAACGGTGGCTGACGGGAAGCAGTATTTCTTATTCAGCAACTCACTTCGAGACAGCTGCACATTCGTGGTAAACAGGCGCTCGAGAGGATTTTACGATATTTCGCGGAATTCCATTTGGGGAATGCCCCGTTTCGCCGAAGTCCATTTCCCGGAATGCCCTGCTCCATTTCGCGAAATTTCTTGAAATGAATTTCATTTTTATAACTGACTTACTTTTTATACGCGTTTTTTTTTAGAAGATTCGAGTACAAGAAAACTCGAAAGAACTCATGTTTAAAAGAGGGAAAATTCTCTTAAAATTATTAAACCTACAAGTTTCTTAAAGTTACAGGAAATTAGATAGAACTGCTCAGTTTTAAAAGAAGAAAAAATCTCCAAGATAATTATTAATTTATGTATTGCCAAAAAACATACTTCAGTCATCAAACATTCCGTCAAAAGTAATTCCGCGAAACAGATTATTCTGCCAAATGGAACTCCGCGAACTGTACTTCCACGAATTGGGTTTCCGCGAAATGTCGTGCAACCCTCGAGAATCACATCCACATCTCCCCACTTTGCTATCCGATCACGATACCCGATGAAATCAAAATTAGCTGTTATGATATGACTCCAGTTGATATCATTTTCTATGGATTATCTAATCCTGTTTTCAATGAAATCAATTTGATAGGGGAATTTACGTACTCTCGGCAACCTAAGCAGCGACCATCTTTCTATAACCTTTTTTATCTAAGGAACGCACACAAATGCAGCACTGATTTGTTTACAATCTTTTGCTGCCAGCTGCTCTAAAGTGGACCCCCTACACGATTGCTTTTATTGACAATAATCGTATTGTCAATACATTCTATATTGACGTCAATACATGGAGATTGACAATATTTCTGAATTCACATCATCAATATTATTGTCAAAAATTTCCCATCGCGTCAATATATTGATGCGTGTGAGGTTTGTTTAACAATTTCTGTCGAAAGAATTGTCAAAAACTGTTTATTTTTTGGATTGGAGCTTCTCTAGTGAGAGCGGCTATTGTAGGCAATATCTTTTTATTCGGCAACCTTTCTATGTTAGCTGCGTTTAGACAGCTGTACTTTCATCGGTATCTCGAAATCAGCAGCATTTTGTAGTGCGTGTGTTTCATTTCAAGAAAACCCTGCTAGATTACCTTTTCTCAGTGGTAAAAATATAATCAAATTGTAGCTGAAAGCCTAAAGAATCGTTTGAATGCATTCAACGAAGTGTTTTCGTAAGAAAATCCAGTAAAATTAGCATTTAAATTACGGTTACCGAAAGTAGTTTGTCATGTCGAAGCCGTCATTTAACATTTAACTGAATACGGTCCTGGCGTAAATGGTTAGCATCCATGCTTCTCAGTTCAACAACAGATGAAATCAAATTAATTTTTCAACAATACGTAAAAAGCAAACCTTGCAGTTAAGTTGCTTTAATTAAAAAAAAACTCTTGTGTGTGTGTGTGTGTGTGTGTGTACAATCTAACCCCCACTGTCCGGCAGTGTTATTATGGAAGAAAACTGCTTTTTATTACCCTTAAATTAAAGCAGGTTTAGTCCGGGAGTTAGAAGGTGTTAGCTCTATTGCAGCTCCAGTGACCCATTTCAGAATGCCTGGTAATTCACGACCACTCCGAGGTCACTTTTACTTACAATAAGCCCCGCATGTTCACTCTACCTTTATCAAATGGATAATGGTATCATAAACACACTTCCAGATTCAAAAAATATTATTTCCAAATCTGGCACGTATATAGTTTTGAAATTTGTTCAACTGTATTAAATCGATTTGAATGGACATTTCTAATCAATTTTGTTTCGCATACCTCTTGATTCATCTGCTGGCAGCACTTACTGGCCCTTACCGGCGACCAACACATCTGCGCGCAAATGCAACAACGCCTAAATCTCAAAGCTCTCCGAACGTCCCCTCGAAAATGCAATCGAGATATGTATAAGAACAATTTTCAACTGGAACGTACTCACCAAATCAATACATCCGGGAGCAAATTCCCGTTGCTTATTTTTCTCTCGCAAACCCGTCGTCGTCGACTCTTGACTCAATAATGAAAGCTCAATGATATCAGACATAGGGGAAAGTGGGGTAATTTTACCAATGTGGCACGCTTACAAATCGACTTATTGAACAAAAAAAAAACATATTATAGGCCTAATGCTTGAAGCCTACTTGAACTATCCATTTAATTTTAGTCTAAAAAAATATAATAGTATGAATATTCGAAAAATGTTGGACTTTCTTTAGCAGCTATATAAAAGATTCCTTTAGCAACTATATAAACGGTAATTGGTTTCTTATATGACACGATATTTTTTCTAGTTTTCAATAAGCATTAAAGCTTTCCTTATCAAAATATTACTTAAGTCCATTCGGGGCAATATGAGCATCATTGATATTACAAACATTTTATACTTAAATTCTTCAATTTTGCATTATGCCTTTTATAAATAATATGAGTGAATCAGAAATCAAGTTGGTAAAAAATCAGTCATTCACAAGACTGAAAAAATATAGCCTTCAATAGGCAGTACTTTTTACATTTATTTACTCTACAGAAAATAATTGTTTCTTTTAAATCTGTTTATGCTAAAACAGTTCATTGTTGACTCTTCTTAAATCCTCATGAAAACAGAATATTCTTACCGGTTGTTTACTGTTTATTTCGGTTACAAAACGAACATTTTTTTAGTCTTCTTTCATAAGATTCAACAGTTTTTCTTTTAACATTAAATTTCTATTCATGAAACTATCTAAGGGAATTTACGTATTCTCGGCAACCTAAGCAGTGACGTTCTTTCTATAGCCTTTTTCTCTAAAGAACGCACACATATGCAGTATTGGTTTGTTTACAATCTTTTGCTGCCAGCTGCTCTAACAATTTCAGTCGAAAGAATTGTCAAAAACTGTTTTGAAACGCTTTTACAAAGCTCCAATCTTCTCTAGTGAGAGCGAGTATTGTCGGTAACCAGTTTTTCTTCGGCAACCGTTCCATTTGAACTGCATGTAAATCTGCTGTTCTATTATCGGCAACTCGAAATCAGCTACAATTTGTAGTGTGTGTGGTGCATTTCAAGAAAACCTTGCTAGATTGCTTTTTCTCAGTGGTAAAAATATAGTCAAATTGAAGCTGAAAGCATAAAGAATCGTTTGCATGCATTCAGCGAAGTGTTTTCGTAAGAAAATCCAGTGAAAATAGTGTTTCAATTTGGGTTGCCGAAAATAGTCTGTCATGCCGAAGCCGTCATTTCCCCTATTTGGTTAAAATTCATTTGAATTTTCCCCTGAATTTGGTATCATTAGTGCTGGTGTTCAAACTGATCCACTTTCCCCTATGTTGCGACAATTGAAATCAAAATGAGTGTTCATTATGATACACTGAAAAAAGTTTTCATATAATTTCCATTGGGAACGCACATGATATTTTTCCAATAACAAATTTAATGATTTTTATCTGAAATTCACATAACATTCACATGATCACATGAATTCTATGTGATAAATCACATAAACTTCATTGGAAACATAAGGTTCATGTGATTTCGTGGTGCGATTCCCAATTATGAGATCACATGAAAGTTATGTGAAATTCTAATGGATATTTTCCATCGGAAATGTGATTTATTTTTTGAGTGTAGATCAGTGCACGGTCCCTAACCTCACTTTTTGCTCCCTATCATTTTGCTTCTGAGTAAAAGAGATAGCAACGAATGGGAGCCAAAACAAACCACCCAAAACTGTCAAAACTTACGGGTGAGAGAAGAGTGCGGCAAATCTTCGTGAACTGATCAATAGGAATAGCAAATTTTAATATAGATTTGCTTTCATTTTGTCAACCGACTTTGTTCGAGTACGGATCCATGTGCTTATCGTAATAACATTGCTACGCTATTAGTGTCTCCAGCTGGCAGCCTTTTGTCGACGGCTTGACCCGTGGAAGCGTGAGATACAACGATCGTTGCAGGTCGTCGACACACCATTTGTAGCTCAACTAAATGCTCGGAGCTTTTAAAATAATCCAAAACGGCAAGCAACAAATGTGAAATGTAAATGCAGAATTCCTCCCAGAAGCTTGTTACAATAAATCAGAACTGCGAAGTCATTAAAATTTCTTGCAGACCATCATACGGATAACAGGTAGACGTTTGTTTTTCTAACCAACTGGATAGAACTTGGTGCCATCGATTAGTTTTTGTTGCTTCGTCGACACTACAATTTACGGCTACATTTCAGACTGTGAGCTTGATAAAAATCCAATGTAATTACAGCATTGCAACCGATTATTTCAGATAAATACAAAACTACCACTTAAATTGAACAACAAATCAGCTACATCTTATCACCCCGTCGTCTTGCACATGTAA